CGTCTCGTACTCTCTCTCTCTCTCTCTCTCTCTCTCTCTCTCTCTCTCTCTCTCTCTCTCTCTCTCTCTCTCTCTCTCTCTCTCTCTCTCTCTCTCTCTCTCTCTCTCTCTCTCTCTCTCCTCCCCTTTCTCCCTCCCTCCCCCTCCTCTCTCCCTCTCGTTGTTTCAAATTAAGAAATTGAATTCAACGGCATTTAAATGATTTCTTACTTCGTGATTTTAACAAGTTATATGTGTGTATCTAACCTAACTTAACAAACTAATTGTACAATAATTTAGGCAAGGTAAGATGTCCTTACCCAGGTGATCCTCCACATGGCCGAATCGCTCCTCTTAAATTTTGGTACAAACCAGGAGACAATATACAGGTGGGATACAAAATTTTGGGATTATAAATAATGATTAAATTAAATTTTTCCAAATAATTCCACGATTTATTTTGACAGGTAACATGTTCACCTGGATATGTAACTCCACTAGAACCAGTGAAAAAACCATCGTGTCGAGAAAATGGCATTTGGAGCGCACCACCACCACCTTGTCGATCCTATAAAGAAGTGTAAGCGCGAGAACGAATTACTCAAGTATTTCAAAGAAGAATTTATAGTTATACTCGTACTATTTTATGTTATCGATGAAAAAAATGACACTCACAATATTCATTACGGGTAGCAGACGTGCATGAACACGAAGAAGAATCATTTGTTTTGTTTCAAATGGTTACGCATGTAATAATGTCCCAGTGGTCAGACATGTCACAATCTTTGACTATGTATTAACAGAACAGTTATTATTCATTATCATAAATACGCAGAAGTAATATTTAAAAAAAACATTGATGAAATAAGTTGACATATAAAAGGATAAGAAAAAAGTATTATTTTGATAGAAAAAATTATATCTTTAATAATGATTAACTTTTAAATGTCCGGTCACTGGGTCATTTATCTTATAAAGTTACCAATTTTATCAGATGATGAGTATAGTTGCAGTCACGATTTATCGAATCGATCAATAATCACGAATAGATTACGAGAAGGAAATGTCTTGCGTCAAATATAGATCACAGAACGATCGTATTCTGTTCAAAATACTTCCACAGATATATCGATTTTAATAAAAATAAAATCCCTTTTTAACAACACATTCTTTTAATAAATATTTTAATGCGATTATTTTCATTTATTTAATGCATTCGCTATAGGTATCACTGTAAGTATCATTCACACGTCCAGTGCAGCGTTAATAAAGTAAACAATCTGTCTTTTTTTGTAAATTTTAAGGGATAGAAAAATGAGAAAAATAAATATCAAAGCAGCTAAGAAAAAGCAAAAATAAATAAATAATTATTGAATATAAAATGTGTAATAAATCTCTAAAATTATGATCTTTTTTAGGAATTATGAAAATGATAAGCTATTAATCCTGACTCATACATAAAGGAACAGTGAGCGTATTAATATCGAAGTGCAATACTATTTTTTCTGCTACAGGATAGCCTACACTAAACGCGAGAGCTAAAACATTAGCGATTGACATAGTTACCATTCCCGTTGCCATAATAACTGGAATGCAACGCGCGTTTAATCAGATAATTGACAAATCCTTATATTGTGTGTATGATGTGACGTTTAATATTCAATGTTGCAATTCATGAAATATCAAGAAGCATCGAGAAAATGGTTCGGACAAAAACTCCCAATAAAATACAAGTAGAAACATGGCTCATCAAAGACAGGATCCACCGATATCGTGGAGTTCTCAAGTTGCACAGTCAGACATAATTAAAGATTATTAGCTTTCTATGTGGATCGATATAGACGACTAACTTTAAACTAAATTAGAAATATTTCAGGAAAGCAATTATTCCAATATGACTAATAGTATCGACAGCATTGCACTTCAATATTATAAGTTATATTTTAATTTAAAAATGGATTAATTGAAAAATCATGATACAATTGGAAATAAAATAATTTCTTATATAAAAATAAGTAAAAAATGTAGATAATATATTTTTCATATAAAGTTTTATTATCGAGATAATTAATTTTAAAAATTGAAAAATTAATAATACGTTTGCACTTTTTTTTAAGCTTGAATATCAAATCTTGTATCATTTGTTATTGAATTCATCTCGATGGTGTGGCTATTAAGAGAGAAGAAAAAGTACATTTTATTCAAAGAAGAAATTTAAAATCATATACAAGCTATTAAAAAAAATTACGCGCAAAATATCAAACTCGATCCCCCCCCAATAATATGTTGTATTTTTCTATATATTTTGAAAATAGCTATTGAGACGAATTCAATTAATGACACAAGATTATTGAAGACTATTTTGCACTTTAGAAAAGTGCAAGATGTTATTAATTTTCCAACTCTTAAAATCAATGTTTTTAACTAGATAACTCTCGTATGAAAAAAAAAACTTCTAAATTTTTGATTTATTTTTGCATGAGCAATTATTCCCGCCAGTACCACGTTTTTTGCTGCACCCCGTGTAGATAAATAGAATAAAAGATAAGAATTCATTTCTGACATGATTGATCTAATATATAAAGCGCGTGACAAGAAACTGCAGTTGTCGCAAGCTACGAAATTGAAATCATTAGTGTCGAGGAAGCTCACGTCCTTGGACGTGGACGTTAAGAGGCATCGCGAGGTCTTGAATGATTTGAGCGATGACGGTAAATGGCGTATACTCAAATCGCTGGGCGATCACAGAGAATTTTATTTGGCGTTTGATCATCTGAAACTATCCGTAAGAATAAGCTACTAAGTTTTAAATTTTTGAAACAAATTTCCGAATTTCACAAAAAATCTGCAATTGAAAGTAAATGATATGTGGTCTAAAATTCTGAAGCGCACTATAATACGAATATCTCGCAGGAAACTTATGCGGCATTGCATCAAGATTGCGATGTAAAACGTCGACTCTTGGACAAGCTTTACTATGAGAAAAAGAGAAAATTGAAGCAAGGCATCGAATTACAAGTAAAACTTGATTTTTACGCGCAAGTACATGCTCTACCGTGTCTGTCATACAAGATGCGGCGAAAATTGTGATATAAGCGGCGATAGAATAGTGAATCTATTTTCAATTTTTCTGTTATTATTCCAAATAAAACTATATATATATAAGTATAACTTCTGGAAATAATATAAAAATATTTAACTGTTGTAAGAAAAATGTTATAATTGAATCTTATAATCTTCTTTCATTTACCTCGTAATAGTAATCGTCGAAATGAATTCGATTGCCGCTATAACATTTGATAGAAAATTATTTAAGCTTGAAAAAGCGCAGATATTAATTTTTCAATTTTCAAAGTCAATCATCTCAATAATAAAGTTTGGTTGAAAAGAAGTATTAGTCTACATTTTCAATTTATTTTGGTAAAAGGAATCACTTATTTCCGATTGTAGCGCTTTGATTGTTCCGATTTTTGCCATACCCTAGCAACAGTTAATGTTATATATTACAATCCTTATACATTTTCATATAAAATATTATAATTCGTGTAAACGTTTCGCGCTAACCTTGACCTATAGAGAGTAAAGATTTGTTCGTTCACTGGATGACAAGTTGGAACACAACGTTCTTTCCATCGAGTTCGAAGAACAAAGCGAGGATCTATCGAATTGCCAGCAGCAACAACTGATAGCACGGTTGCAGCAATCCGTTACGAAACATAACGCGGCAAATGCGATATATTTTACGTACTGCTCGATGTTAAATATCCTGAAAAAGGTAAATTTTTTAACTGCTGCACACTAAGCGTAAAAAATATGTTTCATTAGACATTAACCATTTAAAATCCAATACAAGATTAAAGATTTTAATTATTATTAGAAAAATAACATATTATTATTGCTGTTGTTGGTGATGTGGGATTAATATAGGATGCCACATTCTTCGACATTTTGCTAAATAATTTAAAGGAAGATCAAATTTTGCAATGCAAAACAATGCTAAAGGTGACAGTGATGGGCCAACTGGCAGCGGAGAACCTGGATGATATCAGACAAAAATATAAACGAATGACTCGAGCAGTTTTGCGTAACATGAGAATCAGAGAACAAATGTTAAGTACTGTACGTTGTCAAGTGGATGATTTATGGACTTATGCACAGTCATTAGTGCGTGTCGAAGTGAGTAATTACTAATAATGTCAAATTATATGGATCTCTTCTTGCAAAAATTGCACAAAAAAAAACAACGTCCGCGATAAAACTTTAATGAGAAAAAAAGTCAACTCTAAATTAATCTACTGAAGAAATTACTGCTAAAATGGATCCAACATGATAATCCCGTATATATAGTGTCTATTGCTAAAGAGCTCGAGTACATTTATATACTTTCCACGCATTTGTACAGAGCAATCACGTCTTTGCGACAAAGGACATTGATAAATCATCTAACAAAATATTCGAAAGTCAATTGACACATCTGCAAGACGTCTGCGATAAAGTGAGAGAAACTTTCCTCGTGCGTTCGTATTACGATTTGCACTCGAGGTATTCCGTTTGGCTTTAATAAATTTATTACAAAGGCAATTTTTGTATAATCTCTACAGTTACTATAAAATATGGTAAAATATTCTTTTCTCATAACCAGACTTCAAAACCAATCTCAACAGAAAATAGCACTATTGACGCGCTTAGACACCAATTTAAAAAATCGCGATCTTTTGTGGAGTAAGAAAAATTATGCTTTACATGTTTTAGAAAGTCTCGACCATTCTACAAAAACTACAGTAGAACAGTAAGCAATTGCTATAAGATATAAACTTGTGCTCAAGTACTTTGAGCATAAAGAAAGTTATCCTAATTATTAATATGTTATTAATTATATATTATCGCGTTTTATTTTATTAAATATATACGATAATTTTTAAGTATATTAGTTTTAAAATAAATAGATACACTATACTGGAACAAATCGAGATTGAGAAAAAGCGCGAAAAGGATCTTAAAGAACAGAAGAAAATTTGCGGCGAATTACTCACAAATATCAGGGCCGCCTTGCAGAATATGAACACGATGCTACTCTGCATTAAACATAGTGTCAAAGGAGCGAAGAAGCTAGGCAAAGATGGAAATAAGAATACACTGAAAGAACCGATAACTGTCGACGATAAAGAGGATGCGGAAGATCACGACACACTGCCGGAACTCGAAAAGATAGATACGGATGGTAAGAGAAAAGCTATAATTATATTGAACTGCAAAATTAGACACTTTTATCGTTTGGAAATGCAGAATAGTTTTCTGTAAATTTTTTGTGCGTTGCATCAGAGAATCAAACTTCAAAAAGTAAATATAAAGTAAGTCATAATAAAATAAATATAAAAACCTACAAAAAATTACTTACTCTTCTTTTCGAAACAGATGGAACAATATTATCAAGTAAAGATAATTTTTCTATGTGATGATGTATCGAGTTACCAATAGCAATTTATAGCAATTTATAGCAATTTATAGAAGTAACTTACTGATTTTAGTTTTGGTGCTGTTATCAAAAATCAGCAGGAAAATAGGCATCCTCTTCGGCATGAGCAATTTCGATCTCGAATCAGACAAGGAGGCCAAAGCGCGGGATCTCTATCAAACTTACGTGTCGAATTGCTCTTCAAATTTGATATTTGGAACTGGTAAAGAGGAACCGATAGGTGAATCATTATCCGTTCTGTTGCTTTTTTCCTGACATATCAATAACTTTATTGATTGACCACCTCCATATAAATCATACGACTTTACAGGACTATTGGTTGAACACGAGACAGTTGACATCACCGTTCCGACGCGAGTAGATATTAAACTCCGCAGTAAGCAAATTATAGAGACGCATCTGAAACTGGAATAATGTTTTATTCCAAGACTTTATCATAATAACACATGAAGTAAACAGATTTTTATTAATTACAATAGAACTGTATTACCTATTTATCAATTTAGTATTCATCGAGATCATTGATACGACCATATCCCAGTCTCTTCTTCATTATCTCAAATCTTAGCCAGGAAGGCATATCGTTGTCAAAGCGATGAGCCAATGGGAATTTCCGTGGTGGCTCTGGTCCATTGAAAGGATGAGTTTTTTTCAATTTTCTCAATAAAAACTCCTTTCTTATCTGCTTAGGATCGCGGTATTTGTCTAGATAGAGATTGAAAGGTTCTTTCAAAGGAAACCATGTTTGTTTTTTTATATATGGTTGTGGGAAATCATATTGAAATACTGGTATTCTCATTTTTAACGTATTGTAATAAAATTCCTTAAGAGAGGAATCCCAATCTGATTGAAAAAATGCTAAGCCAGCAGGTGTCAATTGATCTTGATGTTTTCTATAAAAATCCAGTGTTCTCCAGTTACGTTCCTCTAAATTCAAGCAAGATTTTGTTCTCTTATATTCAGAAAAATCTATGTGACATTCCTGTTTGTACAATACAAAAATATATCTGCAATAACCAATGCCGTATGGCGCCAATGGTCTTAAATAATCCACCAATTCTTCTCCTTCCTTCAAACGATTACAAGGAATGTTGCCAATAAACCAGTGACAATACTCATTATCTGCACTGGTGAAATTACCATCCGGTGTAGTCATTATCAGAGTCCACAGTGATCCATTCTCAGCATTGTACGTCACATCAGGTGTCTTAGAAGCTTCACTAGGTTTAATAACGTTACCGGTATAAACTTTTACCAATTTATCATTCTCTAACTCATAGTTTATGTTTAATGGTACAGTTGGCATAAAGTAGGCATCTCCGTACAGATCTTTATAAACACCATAGTGGTCTGCTATTCTGTGAGTATGAAAGGAACCATTGGACTGCAGCCAGTCCTCTCTTGCTTTCTCTAGATCAACCAACAGTGTTCTAGTGCGAGAAGCTTTTTCCAGTTTAGGATCATTCCTACGTGCTGTGATCTCACTCACCCAAGAACTCGTTATAGTTCGCCTTGTGACTTTGGTCACTGGATAACCAATGTCTACTTTGAAATCTAACGTCGGATCCACGCGATTCAGTCCTTCGAGTCGTTGCTTCAAGTTGCGGGCAATGGTTGGCGGCTTACCTCGTAACCGATGACCATGTCGGGCATGTTGACCTTTCAGAATCACAAAATCAAGACAGCGAAAGAGCTTGATAGACATGTCGCCGAACTATAATAAATCGTCCTTCACATAAGCAAAATATTCAATAGCATTTCGTCTATGTTTACTAACGGCAACAAAAACTAACCCATAGGAGAGTCAAAAACATTAGAACAAATTAGGAAAAATTATGACTCACCTAGAGAGTACAATCTCTTGTAAAAATAGGCGCCAGTTTTAGCGCCACCTGTGCGTGGATACGTAAATAAAAATTAAATCGATTCGTAAATCGATTCTGGTTATCTCGATTCAAAATCGATTCAAGTTCAAGATCATGCTGGCTACGTTGTATAACGTTGGGCTGTAATCCATTTGACGCTAGAGATGCGTTTTTCCTCTCTTTCTCTCTTCATTGAAAGGAAAGAGAAACGGAGTGTTTCGAAGCATTTTAGTAGTGTCAAGTGGACCGCAGCCACAATTAACAAACCAAATCTATCTAATAGCGAAAAACAAGTTTTAACGCTTGAACGCAAGCTTGAACGCGCCCGACGGCGATTAACACTTACGTGACAATGTACAATACTTTCGCGGTCAATCGTGCGACCGCGCGATAAATCCGTCGAGAGATACCTCCTCTCCGCGATCGTAAATTCCAGTTTCGCGCCACACGCCATATATGCAGTTGATCCCTGGTTGGTTCGCCGTTGCCATCCGTCGTACCTACCAATTTTGTGATGTCGACAAGGTAATTTTCATTCTTCACGAGAGCATCATCTTTCTTTTGCAATCCTTTCATAGACTTTCGATTAAGAATCTGGTCGTTTCCACTCTTTATCGATTGGTTTATTTCTATTTTATTAAGTAAAATTTAACGCGATTGACTAAATAAATTGAAAAAAAAAACAATTTTTTATAAATTAAATATTTATTTGTTATAAATAAATATATACGATATGTATATAAATGTATATTAATTCCATATATGATTATCTTAATATTTTAATATTACAACACAGGCAGTCTTTAGTAACACAAAGTAATTGACTATAATATGCATATAGCCATACTCTTATTGGAAATTTTAATTTATCTCATTATTTCTTTTTTTTTTCGTTTGTATTTCGCATTCTATAAATTATAAATCGGTTCATTAGTTTTAAAGATAAATTGTAGTATTTTTTCGAAATAAAGAAAATAGCTGCTATTTTTTCCATCTTGTAGTGGTTTTTTTAATAGCATGTTATGATTTACAAGTATACTAGAATAATTGATTATATTTAAAAAAAGATATATAACAATATAAGATCGAAATAGATATATGATAGTAACAAATACGCTTGTTATACCCTCATAATATTACTTGATCTTTCGTTTTTGATGCAAGAATCACAATCGGTCATTGCTATTTGTCGAACGATAGCTACTTTATCGAAGATTTCATAAACGCGTCATAATTGACGCATATGCGTGATCAATTCTCGGTAACCTCGGGCTATGTATACGAGACTATCGCAAGAAACACGTGACAACATGCAAGAAACTCGGTATATGTTGTAATATAGTCAAACGTTGGTGACTGTAAACTTTCATATGATGAAACGATTGAAGATATCGACTAAAAATGTACTTCTATGCTATTCCTCCATTACTTGCCACGTGACCATGTAATCATATAGAATCATATAAAATCATATAAAAAGAAAATGCATTGGCAGGATTGAAATTGTATTGATTAAGAAGCTGAGGGAGAAGTTTATAATAACAATATTTGGTTGTACGATCTTTTACGATTGTACAATATTCCTATCTTTTTTTTTTTCTTATTTTGGTTCTTATTTTATTTACATTTTGGTGTATATTTTCTAGATGAACAATATAATTAATATATATAGAAAAGCTGATGCTGTAACGTTTGATGTTGATTCCACGGTCATCACAGAAGAAGGCATTGATGAACTTGCAAATTTTTGTGGGAAAGGAAAACAAATTACTGAATTGTATATACTTTTATGTTTTATTTTATCTCTTGATTGCACAATTAAATTTTGTTAACTGTACAGTAAAATAGATTCCAAGTGTTCTTTCGGTAAAATAAAATAATACGACATATATTTTTTAGAACAAAACAGGCCATGCAAGGTGATATGACATTTCAACAATCCTTATCTATCAGACTCGGGATTATAAATCCAAAGTTAACTCAAGTGAAAGAGTTCTTAGATACGCATCAACCAAAACTTACGAATGGTATAAAAGAATTGGTGTCAACTTTACAAATCCGTGAGAAGCAAGTGTTTCTTGTGTCTGGTGGTTTCCGCTGTCTCATCACTCCAATTGCTGTACAACTTAATATCCCACCTGAGAATATCTATGCTAACAGATTAAAATTCTATTTTACGGGTAAAAATATATAATAATAAATTTATAATTTCATGGAGACTATTATATATACATACATGGCTTATGCACACTTATAGGAGAATATGCTGGATTTGATGAGAATCAGCCGACATCTAGGAGCGGTGGCAAAGGAGAAGTAATAAGACAACTTAAAGAAGAAAAAGGATTCAAGACTGTTGTACATATCGGCGATGGCTCAACAGATTTAGAAGCATCGCCGCCAGCAGATGCATTCATAGGTATGTAAAATATTCTTTTGAGCATTATTAAAAAACTATTTACTTATAAGTATCTCATAACACTTATTCTGTTCTAAAAAATGTTAATTATACTGTGAGTACTACTGTCAGCATACTTATTTTCAGGGTTCGGTGGAAATGTAATTAGAGAAAACGTAAAATCACAAGCACAATGGTTTGTCACCAACTTTAACGATCTTGTGAAAAATTTATAAATATTTATAGATAGATATATTTTAATAGCACAATGAATCGATTGTTATATATATATATATATATATATATATATATAATATATAAAAGAATGCATTAAGATTTGATAATTGCATTAGATTATAGATTTGTAAAAACTTGTTAAATCAATTTTCATTAATAAACGTGCATACGTAATTCAATCTGAATTATATTTGTAAATAACACACTTTATTCTGCATAGTATATGAAATACAGTTATTGTACAATTACTGTTTTTTTATGCAGCAACTTCTAGAATTTCTAGACGTATAGAATACCCCATTTATATAGATGGCATTTTTATCAATTAATAATTGTTTCTAATATAACTAATATAACCGTAATTCTGTCTTCCATTTATAACACTGTACATAATTACACAGCAAAGTTTGTATACAAAATTACTTGTTCATCATATTACATAAATCGAATGTCAGCAATCAATAAAATCTCGACGTGACAATATAACCATAATCTTTCTATTTCATTTTTCACAAATTCGAACCAATTACCATAAATCCGGATTTTCTTTAGCAACCGTCACATAAGTTGTGCATCGCACAATGATGCTTTACAATATATTCACTTCGAAAATAAGTTTCAACATTGTCCCATCATGATATAATAATTGACAATAGATTAAGTCTGAATGCTTAAAGATTTCTCTTGTTTTTTCTGCGAAATCCACTCTTGTATCTTTTGTTGAAGTTCGACGTTTGGTTTTACCATGTCCATAGTAAGTGGAGATCGATTAAAAGGGTCAGTTTGATCACTTAATAAATGTCTGAAATACATTCAGTAAAATTGATATATATATATATATATTGGATTCATTTATAATATTTAAAAAAAGGAAAAAAAAACCCAACAGAAAGAGCTTCTTGATTTTTTGATTAAGTTTAAGTGTTATAAATGTTGGTTACATTACGTTACACAAATAAATGTCTATCGTGAGTGTGCATAATAATGAATTAAATATCATAAAATATGTAAAAATATTATGTGTCTTTATTAGTTGACCTGCTTTTAGTCATTGACGTCACGATACATGAAATAAGTTTACATTACAAAAAAGGACTAATCTTCAATATTGTATATTTTGATATAAACAATTAAAAATATAACTCTGTTATTTATTCGTCCTCCATAAGTTAAATTTGCACAAAAATCTTTGGTCTCCATCGCTAGAGAAAAATTATAACTTTAAATTTGTCAGAGAATCTGTCATTAAAATTAGGGTTGCAAACTATGCAATACGCTATATAAATTAACAAATATTTGCTTTGAATTTGAAATCTTTAATATATACCTTGCTATAGTTTGACGATCGATGGTTATTTTGGACGATGGTAAAGTTACGGGATCCGTCATGACTGTTGACATAATTGGGTCCAGGAAATCGTCGGGAATACCCGTCAAAATTTCATCTTCTTCTCGCTTTTGATTTGCAATCTTTTCCACGCTCTTTGCAAATTGATCCAAATCTCCCAGGATTCCCACACCACCAATGCGAACTATGGTTTTTCAAATATGTTTGTATAATTTCTCACTGACACAAATAGTCTCATATATATATATATATCTTTGAGTACCACACACACACAAAGAGAGACATAGAAATGCTTACCTAGTACATTATCGGCAAGTTTAAAAAGTTCTGGGCTGTAAGAACGCCCATCTTGCGACACAGCTAGTGTAAAACTTTCACTTTTGTTCAGATTAATATAGATCTCACATATATTTAATACCAAATTTGCTGGATTAAATGCGTATTCTTTTTGATCGTTCACCTAGGTTTCATAAATATAGAATTATAAAATTTATAAAACATGTAATAATCATAAATTTGTTTTACTTCGATGTTTCATAAATCTTAAAATTACCTTAAGATTTTTTTTATTTGGGCCCACTAATTGTAGTAATAAATAATTGAGCATAGAAGCGATACGATCCACCATAGTTGGATGGCAAAAGATCGATTTTATTTCAGTTGTTAACATTTTTATCGTCTGTATAGTTTTTCTGCCTAGAATATTATCAAAACGAGCAATCATACCAATGTGCTGAAGATAGCCTGCCTGCTGTTCCCGTTCATTTGGTGGCAATTTATTCCATTCTCCACTTTCCCTTATGATTAAAAATAGAGCGACATTTAATGCAAATTTAAAATAAAGTGTTTAGATTCAGAAAAGATAATGCACAATAGAAAGCACAATTGTATATCTCACAATATTATATAATATTTCAAAAAATACCTAGCTTGAAGCATCTGTCTCAACTGTGTCATATTTGATAAAGCTTCATCCAAAAGAAACACAGCATCATTCATTAATAGATTAATAAAGCGTAGGAACAGCGGTGGTTGAATTGCTTCCATGTTGCTCTCTGCGTCTTGAGCTAAAGCACTGACACATAATTATATCAAATATTTTAGCTCTCTGATGTGTAGAATCTTAAATATAGTGACTATCATACTTCTATTTACATGAAATTGTTACGATGTTCAGGAAGTTTCCATAAATAATCCATAACGCTGTACATCGGACGACGGTAATTGAATTTTTGTTCGAATTGCACACTCTGCCCCGTCATTTCGATACTTACAAAAACATGCAGCAAATTGGCAATTATCTATTTGCAAATAAAAAATGTGAAAAACAGCTGCGCCCTTTCCTTGTTCTGTAAATTCTACACAGAATTCTACTCACTTGCTGCCTGTGTGGATGAGTGAGAAACAACTGTTCTCTATGGAATGTTCCCAAGTTGGGTGTTGCTAGAGTCGCATTCTCATCCGCGGTCGGCAAAAGTGCTTCCAGACTCTCGGCTAAACGCGCACGCAAATGTGGATTGTACAGACGATGTTGAGACTCCATTAAAACTATAATCTAAAAAGACCAACATATAATTTTAACGACTGTGATGGAAATATATACCGCTGTCTTAACTCACCTCCGTCAAGATTGGATTTAAAAAGCTATGACCCTGCTCCTCGAATGTGTTTGGACTCAAGCGACGTAAGAAACACAAGAATCCAATAGTGTTCTCTACTACAAACTCGGGAATGCACCTGTAGGGACGCATTTACCTATAAATATCCAATTATCTGAATTACAGTGCATATGTGACATACCTTAGTGTAATCGGGACAGCCTCTGATAATGGGAATGTAAGAGGTATGTATTGTTTTGGGGCGAAACTTTGCTTGCTCTGTTCTTCAGTCACAACATGTAAGTTTACTTGTACCAACCAAAACGCCGTCATTGCGTGAAATTTCGCCAAGTGTTCTAACATCTCTGGCACTAGGAGACTCGCTTTAAGAGTCAAGTACCTATAACGCAACCCAATTATAATAAAGATATCAAAGAAAAGTTAGAAATATATGTATATTAACATATTTATATATATACTTTGTCATCTCAGTCTCCATTCGTTGCGTTATAAGTTCTAACACCTCTGAACTACCTCCAGTTCGAGCATCATTATACGCTCTTTGTATTCTAGCCAAATCCTGATTTATCCTGCAAAGTTGACAGTGACAAAATACTTGGACAACAGGCACAATTGTTTAAAAGTTAAAATCAATCAATCGTTTTTCCACACCTTAAAAACTTCTCAAGTATTACTCTGTAGCCAAGATCTAACGCACGATGTGTAAGAAAAAAGCATTCCGTTGTGAATCCATATGAATCTGCTACTGGTCGAGTCTCACCTTCCGGAGTCGGTATCAAACATGTTTCTGAAGTCAATCCCACCATATGTATACCACGTTCTAGACTATCGCTTTCATTCTTCACCTAAGAATACAAACATACATGTTAAATAAATAAGTTCCAATCAGTCTTTGCTCACACAGATTAAATATAGATTTAATATTCAAACTAGTCTTTTCAACACACTAAATATTATATATAATTATATTTTTAATTTTTTGAAAGCTAACCTCAGCGTTACAATATGTGGGATCTATCTTGGGTACTTTGGTATCGTCCAATTTTATACAAAATGGTTGACAAAGGCGTAGCAGGACATTACCCACATTCAGCATAAAACCATCCGACACACACAATACACCTAATAATCCCATATCCATATGAGAATTCCAAAGTTTTCCCCTATTTGCATTGGCATGGAGGCAATTGCTAAGCCATTGCAGAGTCAAGTGACGAATCATTGTCGAACATTTCAGTAAAGAATGGAAAGTTTTATACAGGGCTTCACTTAAGCTACTCATAGCTGTCCATATAGTACCTTCCATGACTGTGTTCGGCTGTGATATTTCAATAGTGTATAAAGCAAATTGTAAAATCTAAAAGATTATTTGATTAATAGTTGAAAGAGCCGTACTTGCCGTAAAGGTTTATCAAAAAGATCATACGGATCTTTAGCCGTTTTTGGTAAGCAGCTTATGCTGAAGAGTGAACCTAATAATGTGTCCGAGTATGCGCAGCCTTGATTATTTTTTGGTGTGCTATGAAGAATCATCAACTTTGCCAAGGGCTCAATAGTGGAAAATATATGTAGTAAAGTAAACCATTGCTGGCGAAAGGTAAAAAGATTACTCTGAGCTATTTCTTTATGAATAATATCAAGAACCTGAGCAAAGGACCACGCAATTACATCCTCTACATCGCTCGCTTTATTTGCAGCAAATAATTCTTCTATTATGCCATTAACGAATGAAGATAATTCTGACTTTGGTGTAACATCATCCATGAATAAATCAACAAATTGACTATGAACCTAAATAATAAACAGATGATTATTTTGTGTGTGTGAATATATATATAGTTTATATGCTATATATATGCTTCTAACAGCTCTTGTTGTTTTGACAGAAAGAAATTTTCAAAAAGTTTCTCATAACATTATATTATTACGAAAATATTTATACCTCTTGATCTTCGAATAAATTTGGTTCTTGTAAAGCCGTTTGGGCATTTCGTAGCACAATTTGGCAAGCATTTCTTACAGTATCTTCTAAACTATCATTTGTTTGATAATGTTTTAAACGACAATAACATTCATAAAGATAGGTTATAACATGTGTTTGAACGACGTGATTATCGATCTCTTGTACAGATGTATTGTCGTACATACACTCAGGTTTTGGATTTTGCAGCATCAAACGCTCGAAAACAGCGTGTTCAATTGAATCAGCATCGATGAATACCAGACATCTCTGTGCAGTATTGTTGCTGTCTCTAAATAATGTTAATCCAAACACATGAGCTATAAGCTGATCAATTTTATCCTTTAAAATTCTGGATTCTGTCACATTTTCAGATTTATCTTTAATAGTGTCTAACGATTGTTCCACATAATTAGTATTGCTACTTTCATCATCGATCGTATGATGCTGCGAAGAAAATGAGACAGCATCATTATCTGTTGAAAACAATCCGGCAAATGGATTGCCACTTATATTGTCACACATCTTTGTAACTGTTTTTAAAGCGAGATCTCCGTGATAAACATAATCAAATTGCGAACGAATAAGCGCTTTCCATTATTGCATCAATGTGCCAAAAAGTCTATTTTGTACAATGTCACCCCCCAATGTTGACCGTGTGACTACATATATAGTGATAAATAGTACACTTAATTGTACGAATAACAGTAGGGACAATGCGTTGTAAAATTCGATGACATATTGCGCAAACTCATAGAAGCATTGTTGGCTGATAGTTGGTAATACATTAGGATACATCCACACAAACTTGCATAAGCACATACATAAGGAAAAAATTGTCCAAAATTTGAAGATTTCTCTGTAAACTGTATAAAAATTGTTCTACTGTATTGCAACGTCAAAGCATCAGGCATTCTGATGCTTTTCAAATGATTTTTTCAGCAATTTATTTATTGATATATATTTTAAAGTTATTTATATAATGTTCTAACCATTTTCTCACTAGATCTAAATTTACTACTTTTCACTACTCGTTACATGAGCCATTCTAGTTCTCAGTCGAAATGACCGAAGCCAGATAGCGCTAAAACTGATCTTTACTTTTACAAAAGGAAGTTGTACTTGTCGATAGTGCCTATTCCTTGTTTGTTGTTGATTGTTAATTGAATTGACAGTAAACATTAATTTGTTAATTATTTTTCTGGTTAAATACATAATCTGTACAATTACTTTTACGATAAATTATGTCATATATATATATATATATATATAAAAGAATTCAATAAAATAATATAATGGCAGTTTGTTGTATTTGTGATGTTAAATTTGGGCTTCAGACAGAATGTGTTAGTTTTCATAGGTACGAATACATATGGTTTATGCAAAGCCTTATTACTATCAGAATGTACAGCTTTTTATTTATTCTATAGTTTAAAAATTAAATACTTTTATTTTGCAATATAATTTTTAAAGCCATACTGTATATATGCATAATGATTTTCATAATAACATAATATAAAGCAAAAGTACTTTATAATTTCAGATTTCCTAAAGATGAAGATAAAAGAGTGCATTGGTTTACAGCAATTGGTGAAAAAGTTAAAAACTTTATATTTATTCCCAATTCACAAATATGTAGTAAACATTTTACAATGGAATGCTTTGTGATAACATGCAGTGGTAAAAGATACTTGAAAGCAGATGCTGTACCCAGTATATTCAACATACCTTTAAAACAAGGACTTGAACTTATTCGACCAGTATGTATTTTATTTTTAATTTAAAAAGTAAATAAATTTAGAAATTTTAAAATGAAATTCAATAATAAATTAGTCAATAATTATATGAAAATTATATGTTAATTAGATATTATTTTTGTTTTACTAATAAGGTTCAACAACAATTATATACACCAAAATGTGATAATGCTGCTAGTATGAATCATAAGCAGGAAGAAATTAGAATATCAAAAATCATTATAAAACCTATTAATAATAAATATTTCGTTACAAATACAGATTACAGCAAGAAGCTGCTAGTCTACTCAAAAGTAATACTAAAATT